ACCGTGTACAGGAAGAGCACGCAGGGGCGGGACCGGAGTGGGGTTGTGCCGAAGGTGCGCCACCACGGAAACTGGAGGACCCACCGCCACGGCAAGGGGAGACACGACTGCACCGACTGGCTGAAGGACCTCGTCGGCCGCCTCGCCCAGCCCTTCCCCGACCGCACAGTGAGGGACCGGCGCACGGGGGAGGTCAAGGCCAAGGAGTTCCTGCCGGCGGGGCTGTTCTCCACCCTGCAGTCCGTCTACGAGTACTACTGCCGTGCCACCGCTGCCCGCCAGCCCCCCAGGGAGCCCGTCTCCTACACCATCTTCCGCCGGACGTGGCTTCAGCGCCACTTTCAGGTAAGCCGCTAAATGTGGACGTGAGGTCCCCAACCATCTCACGGGCACCCCATCCAGCCTCGCCCGGGACCGACGGCGACAATGCCGAATCCAACAGCCCTCAGCCTTCACTTTTCGTGGTTGCTGCCCCCAGGTGCACACGTACCGCCACCAGCCCTTTGCCAAGTGCGACACCTGCGTGAGGCTGAAGGAGACCAGCACCCTCGCCACAGGACCGGCCAGGGAGGCCGCCGTCCGGATACTCCATCAGCACGAAGCGTACGTTGCCGCAGCGAGGAGGGCAATGGAGGAAAGGAGGCGCTACGCCCTCGACCACGCCGAGGAGGTCCTGTACCTGAATGTAGACGGCATGGACCAGGCAAAAACGGCGATACCCCACGAGTTGGCAAAGAGCAAAGCGGATGAGGTGGGGCTGCCCCTGACCACCAAGCTGTTGGGCGGGATCGCCTACGGCCACAGGTGGTGGGGGTTCTGGTCGTTCCCGGAGTGGGCGGCGTCCAGCAACCTGACGCTCACCTGCCTCTGCAAGATGATTAGGGACGTCAGCCACTGCGACGCAGCCGCGCCCGGGCTCCTCCCCCCCTGCCCCGGCCTGCCCCCCGTGCTGCACGTCCAGATGGACAACACGGCGAAGGACAACAAGAACCACTACCTCCTCGGGTTTTGCGCCATGCTGGTGGGGGAGCGGGTGTTCAGGGAGGTGCGCGTCTTTTTTTTGCCGGTGGGCCACACGCACCAGGAGATAGACGCCACCTTCAGCCTGGTGGCCTCCGCCATCAACCGCGAGGGGGCGCTGTGCCTGGGGGACTTGATGAGGGCGACGCAGCGGGCGTGGGGGGAGCACGCGAGCGTGGGCAGTTCGCGGAAGGTGAACACACGGGTGGACCGTGTGGCCGACTTCAGGCGCCTTCTCAGGTACACTCGCGACCGCCGGCGGGGTGTCGAGGAGGAGGAGGACGACGCCGAGGATGGGGATGCGGGCGTCCGGATGCACACCTTCAGAGGCCTCGGAACTGGGCGGGACAACAAGAGGTGCGCCTGCGGCGGCCGGCCCGGGCGACCTCTGCTGACCCGCCCCGTGTCGACTGTGGGATTTGCCTGCGTTTGCGCGCGTCACGCGCGCAAGCACAAAGTTGCCGCCTTGCTTGCGGCCGCTGTTGCGGGGTTCCTTCCGCCGCCTGGATGCAGGCCGTGCTGTGTTGTTTTCTTCCCCGTTGCTTCTGCGCGCGGCTGCGATTGCGGGGTGGATCTTGGCGCCGTCGCCCCGTCCTGCTTCCCCCTTTCCCGGGAGGCGTTGCACGTCTTCGTTGCGAAGTGGGCTGGTCCCCTGTTTTCAAACCCAGCAGCCGCACCATCCTTGTCCTCTCCCAATCGCGGGTGTGGTCGGCGTCTGTTGCTGGCCGGCACCCTGTGGCGCCCTTAGAGATTTTGTGCGCTCGGCGCGCGCAAACCCTCGAGGTCCCTGGCGGCGTTCCTGGGCTGGGCACCTTGATTTGTGTTCGACTTTCCGGTGTGCTTCCTGCGGCTTGGTCCTCACGCGGACGGCGCTGACCACAGTGGCGCCTTCTCTACTGGACGGTGCTTCATTGCGGTGTGCGCTCCTTCGGGCAGGTGCTTCCACTCGTTCAAATTCGTCTTGGAGGGGGGGGGTGCCCGTCGTGTACGCCCGCGAGCACGACAGCGAGAACTGCCCCTGGGTGGGCACGCCCGACGGCCGCTGGGTGGCCGGTGTTCGTCCCAGGGAAACCCGCCCCGAGGTTCGCCGACCTGCGGTGGGAGCCACGGGCCGCACTTCAAGACTTTGAGGACGTCAAGAAGAGGGTCCTCGTGAAGCTCGCCAGGTGGAAGCGCCAACTCGACGTGTGTGGGGACCCCGCCGCCGCGGAGGACATCAAACAATGCAAGCTCCGCCGGATGGCCGGGGCCGTGCGCTGGTGGGAGGCCTTCATTGCCTCGCACGAGCGCACATTCCCGCTGGACGGGAGTGGCAGACCCACTTTCGCCATCGACGAGGGGGCCGCCTTGCGGCTGGACAGCTTATCCCCCGTCTTGCAGGCCGCCCCCTCCACTGCGCCCGAGACCACTCCTGCCACCGCCTCCAACGTTCCTGCTCCACCCACCGCAAGGTAGGAGCGCACTGGTGTGGAGCATTCCGTCCGCCCGTCATGGTTTTCCCCCCCTGCTGCCATGGTGCCCTCACCAACGACGCCGTTGGTGTCCTCTGCAGGGACATTGGCCCGCTGCCCGGGGAGCGCCCACTGCTGTTCGGGCACCTCTCCGCGCTCCCCAACGATAGAGAGTATATCCCCTTCGACGCCGCACGGGACGTAGAGGTTGGCCACCAGGTGGCCATCGCCATGTCCGACGCTGACGCCAAGGAGTGGGGCCAGCGTTTCGACATCGCGATCGTGAAGGGGGCAAGGGCCAGAGAGGGGTTTGGGCCCGTGCTGAAGAGAGTATTCACCGTTGCATATTATGAAAGCGAATTCAAGCCCAGCCCCCCCTACAACTTGGGGACCCTACGCTTCTATGCCTCGGACGACACCCAACTGAATGGGCGCTGGGTGGAAGGGCGGCAAATACGGGGGGAGGTGTCCTCCGACAACATCATTTGCAACATTTGGTTAGAGGCCACTGGAGCTGGGAAGGGGTCCATCCACCCCCAGTACAAACGGCGTCTCCAGGCGGAGCTGGAGCGTTGGGATGAAATGTGTTAGACGGGGGAGGGCCATTTCTAGACGTAGGAACTTGTAATTCCCGTTGTGTGTGTAACAACAATTGTAATAGGTTGCAAGGCCATGCTGCACCCACGACTTGTGGGTCGCATAGCCTGGTAGTGAGGTGGTTGTAAGAGTCCTTGGCCAGGGTCAATTCAATTTCTTTTGTGCGCAACATCGTGGTTTTCCCGTCGGTGGTGTGACCCCAAAAATGCCATGTTTGTGCGTAAGTTCGTCGTTATGGTGTGTTTCTTGCATTTTGCATGTGCGCAAAATGCATCTTCCATTGTTTTCCGTGACCCCCTTACCGACATTTTGCACGAAAGCTTGTTTAAGGTGCAGTGTTGTCGTGTTTCTTATTGTTTCAGGACACCGAATCCGCATGTGAGTTGTCGCATCAACCCAAACAGGCGACAAGCGAACCTCTATTCTGCATTGTGTGCTCATTAGACATTCATGAGTCTCTCAAGGATATCGTCACACTTGTCAAATACATCAAGGCGACGACCATGTCACCCTGATCGGTGCTCCACTTTTGCAACTTAGTAGTAAAACATCAAGTGCTTGCAGCCAAGCCACCCCCAAGTCATGACAAAGATAGCAAGGCCCCCTACCATGTGCTGGTAGCGCCACGCCCATCACGGCAGAGTGATTGACGTTGCCACTTCTTGCAGCTCGCAATCACCTTGTTATGCATGTCCCCCTTCACCATCAACACCCCTGGCGCCCCATCATGAGTGGCACCCGCTGTAAGCGCCAACGCATGCTGAATTCCAGCACTCGACCTCACGAATTGCGAGGGAGGGTCACACACATCGCAAAGCAACCCTGAGAGACCACAAGGCAGCGTGGGACTTGTGATCACTTGCCGTATCGTCGGCTCCACATGCCCATCATCGCACAGCCACATGGACAGACGGGAATGCATTACATGCCCCCAGGACTTAAGTCTTCGGCCTCTGCCCCACTGGGGTGGACAGAGCCATATTTGTATCTGGTGGGCACGACATGCCATGCCCGCCTCTCATCGCAAACTCACACGTTCGCTCAATTAGAGTGTCCATCTGCCAACCCCCCCATCACTTCTCACTCCGCGTCATTTCGCTTCGCACTTCGTGACCCGTCATTTCGCATCCTACGTCACCTTGGCACATCACCCTACACTTCACACTTCATCGTGCTGCACCCCGCGGCTCGCCCCCACGGCTCGCCCGCACAGTTCCATGCTGCCGGCCAATCAAACAGCCGCCCAAAGACCAGCCTAACGTAAGGCTCAACCAAGTGCTGTGCCACCACCTCCGGGCGCTGGCAATGGCTGCGATGGCCCTGGGCGCCATCCTCAGTAATGCACCAGAAAATGACGCCATCATAAACCCCATCCTGTACCGCCTCGGGGCAAACGGCCAGCGCCCTCATTCGGTGACCAAAACACAAAAGTGGCCAACAAATGTTGGTCATTTTGTGGGAACTCGAACCGATCACGCTGCCAACTCAACTTGTGTTTGGACGCTCCAATCCATACTGTTTACATGATCAGCGCTCAATCGAAAGCCTGCAAGGCACAGCCTCAAAGTCCCACGGTGTAGCTCAAACCTGCATGATGAAACCCTAAAGAAATGTTGCAGCATGTAGGCAGGCGATTCCCTGACTCTACATACAAGACAGGCAGCACAGATCCAAAGGCACCCTTTGACAGTGTGCGTTTCCCCCAATCAACAAACGTTCCTTCAACTGACGCATCAACAATAAAGGTCACGGCGTCTATACGTGTTCTATATGCAAGGCACAGTGCTCATCGTCCTTGCTGCCACTGTGCTCGAACACACCAGCAGTGACAGCCGAATTCGGCATGCACCTCCGGCAAATTCTGGCCTTGCGCCCATTTGCAATGTGACAACCCACGCCAACCTCCCTGTGCACGCATGGAGGGCAAACGGGCTACCTCACGTGAGAAATGCAGTCCTCTCGATAATCCGAGTGCTCGAAGCATGAGTAAATGAGCCTCCGCACTTCCTCAGAGGAGAACCCAGCCTCTCTGAGGGTGCCCCTGTCCCACCACTCCACTATCTGGCCCAGGCGGGCCTCCAGAATGGCTAGCAGCCTGTGCAGCTTGTTCAAACTAGGCGTCCGCTTGATGAATGTCTGCTGCATCAGAAACTTCAGATCCTCGTCCAGCGGGCCCATCACCTTGGGAGTGCCGTCACTTCCTTGGGGTCCACCATCGGCGGCGGGCACGCTTTGCGGCCCCTGGCTGCCAGGGGGAGGCGGCTGGCTGAGCTGGAGGATGACGGTGGGGCCTTCCTCCACAACTGTGCTCAGAATCGTGGGGAGCTCCTGGATGGAGATGTTGCTCTGTCCGAGAATGGCTGTCACGATCTGTGAAGCCACCGCCTGCACACCCATTCAGGAGATTTTGCAGTCGTTTCGGGCACAGAATGCTGGATCGGCGTTGATGGAGGTGCATTTGTTTGAACACAGGGAAGCTCTGCTAGCACAGGATGGGACATACTGCAGTTTGAAATTCAAAATTCAGTGCCCAGTCATTTCACCTCTGCAGGGCTTCGCAGTTAGTGCACTTAAGTGCATTGAATTACACAGTGCACACATGTGTGCAACCCCTGCATTTTGTCCCATGCCCGTGGAGGATGTGCATGCAACCTTTGCGCCGACATAGACAGTGGGCTTGGAGGCCAGAAACGTTGGGCGACATCGCTCCCCATGACCTTTCCCATCCAGATGTCTAGATGATGCCACAAAGGTAACAAGTATTTGTTGTCCATCACTGCAGTGAAGTTGCAGCGCCGCACTGTATTGCCCTTGTACGGCAATGCAACAGCAATCTAACTGAACATACAGTACTCCAACTGGCGGTGCAAATATTAATGCGCCAATAATGCACGAAAGTGCACATACTGCATTATTAGTGTACCAAGACAATGTAATCATGTTGCAATAATGGGATAATCAAGGCTGTGATAATGTTCAGTGCCATTGCAAATGGTTGCCTGTGACACGTGTCATGGACATGATCACAGCAACACTGCCGCAGCCCCTACCTCCATCAGCACACTGGCCATGGCAGTGTGGTCCCCAGGCGCCAGAACATCAGACATGAGGCGCCCCAACTTGCCAAGGAGCAAGACGAGCTGTCGTGCAGCACGCCGCATGGCGATGCCCTGCTCCCCAGTGCGCAGTCCGGCAAAGCCATTCACGCCACTCACCACCTCCAACAAAGCCTCCCGCTGCTGGCCAACCTGGTGTTCATATCCCAACGGAAATGGTGATGACACAGAACGATTGTACTTAACTTGCTTGGGAGAGATACAAGCTGGCAAATATCTGTTTGGCGACAGGGGAGAAGGTGCAAAGGGGAGCTGGCAGCGTCTGGCCCATGCTACAGACCAGACACATGTTTGGGACTGATTCTGCAGCAACATTCCAGCTGCCCGTCTCCTGCCCCTGGGGAGTGCATCGCACTGACAGGATGACCACACACCAAGGCACTGTCGCAACACATATCATAAAATGTTTGAAGGGCAGGGGCTGGGAATGGGGTGTGGGCACCAATGACATTCCTTGTGTTCTGGACAGAACACCCGAAAAATGCATGCAACGCTTTGGGCCTCATCAGGGCATCAAAGCTACGCGACATGTAGGAATGGCCGGCCCCTGAACTGGCTACACATGTGCAGAAATGCAAGATGCAGGTCACGAACACAATGGCTCTGCTCCATATCGAACAACAGAACAGCGTTCTCCAAAGAACTGACGCAAAAACAAGTTAAGCATAAGAACTGGAAGTTGCACCTCACTCCTTGGTGGTAAACACTTGGCTGTTGGCATTCATAGTTGGCAGGCATTTTGTTCACAACACGATTAGACATCGCACTCCAAAGCCTGGCACAACATCAGGAATGCAAAGCGCCTGCAAGGGTCAGGCTGCCCACCTGGTTCTGCAGCGCCCTTTGGCCCGCAGACCTCAAGCAAAATGCTTCCTTTGTGTATTCCACCCTCTCTCCTCCCAGCAGTTTGCTGAGTGACTCACCAAAGGTGAGTGGCAACAACAGGACCTGGTCACTCAGATGTTGGCAGTCATTGTAGTACAGCATGGCAAGCTGTGGAATGGCCAATTCTTGTGTGCGCACGGCAAGAGGGAGCGTGCAGAATAGCGATGAGAGGTCGCGTACTGCCTGGCACATGGCACGGCAGATCATGGGGCTATCTGCCAATGTGACAATCCAGCTCAATCAACAAGGCGGCCACATAACAAGGAAACACTACTTGATCACATGGGATGTTTGCAGTGACTAACCAACAAAACGCTGGCAGCAACAATGCGGGCAAATGAACTGCACAGGATGCAGTATTCTAGGATCCAGGTGCGATTCATGTGATTCAGACTAGCAAGAAAGGCAATAGCAGAAATGGTGCTACACCGCTATCCATACGTGGGGCCCTAGCTGTCCCCTTCAACAAAAGAATTCAACTGCTAGGGTTGAGATCGAAGTCAAGATCGACGTGCAACTGGCAACAGCCACACAACAGCATACCAGAATTGCACCCCTCACAAAGAGCCTCCTGCATCAGTTTCAAAACCCCAGCAGCAGTTTGGGTGATCTTGAATCGGCCTTTTCCACCGATGGGTGTCCTCCCCAAGTCCACCTCGCAGTCTGGGTTTTGGGTCTCCCAATCTGCCAGGAGCTCCTGTAGCTGCCTCTTTGCGTGCTCGCAGTTCACCACGAGTGGCTCACCAACCACCAACACATCCCAGGAATGGTTCTTCAGCAGTGCCCCACCCTGGCTCACGTACTGCCTGGGGTAGCTGTAGACGTGCTTCTGAGCCAGCGCTGATATGCGAGTGCTCAGAACACACACATCTGTTTTCACACACGCCTCAGTGGATCACAAACAGATGAAATGCCAGGCCTGGCAGCATATCAGGATGGACATTGGCAATGACTTTGATGATGAAAATTGGGTCCCACACGCACCTTGACTGCAGTCATCACATTTAGGGCAGCATGGGGTTATCCTGAAGAATGGATGAATATACCAATCACGGTGCAACAGACAAATCAAAAAGGGAAATTGACAAAAGGGGGTCCTCTGTGAGATATCTTGACAAAAGGGGGTCCTCTGTGACAAAAGGGGGTCCTCTACGGGGGTGCATTTGACAAAAGGGGGTCCTCTGACCGCCCCCTGTACATTAGGCGCGTTGCCAGACCGGTGCCGTACCGGCAAGCCGGTCCTAATAGGGGCAACCCCACAGAGGACCCCCTTTTGTCAAATGCACCCCGGCAGAGGACCCCCTTTTGTCAATTTTCCTCTAAGGGGTGTCGTAGGCGTTAGTGGGGACTTGGCGATGCCACATAAACGCCCCCCACCCCAACCCCACCTTTGGTGTCTCTTGAAAGCAACACACCATAATTGACCACGTCACTCCTTCAAAGCCACCGCAGTCTTACCAACCAACCAAATGTCCAACCGAGTAGAATCGATGGTTAACAGATCAGAGATCAAACAGGAATCAACGGACTCGGCAAGGCTCCAGCTCATCATGGAGCGCCTCGTATTTGTATTCAAACTAGCACATTAGTACATCGTTATTGTCTTTGGCACTATTCCCAACCTTCCCCAGTACAACTCCGGCTAAGAAAAGTCTCTTTTCCATCCCCAATACACATTATAATGTGCCTATCATGGAATAGATCACCTTTTGATCCTACCCTGTAGCATGGCAGCGGCACAGCCCAAACACGGCCTGGCCATGCCCCAACCATGGCGCCGGCATGCTCTAACCCTGACAACTCATCAACAGTTAGTCATACACCTTGTAAAAAAGGTCCCGTGTCCTTCCT